GGGGGGGGGGGAGGAGAAAGAGACGGAAATAATTGAAAAACTCTTGGCATTATTGATCGCATTGTCTTTTTTTGCTGCGTCAAGATAATAATTATAAGCAAATTAATTACATGTATTCAGTCAATTAATTAAATTAATTATCTTATCGTCGGTGCGAAATCTCTCGGGCAACTCCAACGAAAATCGTGAAAACTAAAGTATGACTTGATGCACAAGTTATTCCTATATGTATATTATAAACGCTTTAAATATATAAAATACCTTTTCATTTATATTTAAAGATCTTTCCGATTTATAATGGAGCATTAATTTGAAATACGTACATTTTTATCGTATAACTAAATCAAATAAAATTTATGTATTTTAAAAATCCAATTGTGCTTCAGAGTACCATATTGTTTATAAATTATATTTTGCAAATTTTCACTCGCATCTCCTTCGCGGAGGTCTGGCAAACCACCGAGAGTATATCCTTACAGCGTAAAGACCGCTCTCAAAAATTGTGTTCGGGAATCGGCTTTAAACTGTTTAGGATGCCTGTCACCTATATACAATCACAAGCATATAAAAAGAGCGATAAGTAAATACATCGAAATAATCTCTGGTCCAGATAAATGTTATCACATAAATATTTGGGTCTGAGAGATTATTTTGACCACGGCTTATCACTTTTTTCATATGCTTGTGCGCACACTGATTGCATACACACAAGGCGTCGCAAATGAGCCTATCTATCTGAACTTGTAGGGATACTGACCCATATATATGTGTGTGTATTATATATATGTACATACAATAATGCATACGTACATGACCCTTGCAATTTCAGATGGATAGGCCATTTGTAACGCCTTGTGTATGTATGTACATACATACATACACAATAGGTGACAGGCGTATATACGTCCCACTGCAGTTTTCTTCACGGTAATTGCCGCTGTAAGGACATACCTTCGATGGTTTGTCGGATCTCCGGAGAGGAGACGCAAGGGTGCAGTATGAAAAATTTGTTACAGGATCTATAAACCGGGAATCGAAGCCGGGATCTCTGACACAACAGACCAGTGCGCTGTTGTTATGCTCGTACTCGCTGTACACGGTAAAAAATAATTTTACAGCACACGGGATATTTAAAAAAAAAAAAGAAATTAAAAACTTTCAGAGTGCAAATACGAAAATACATAGAAATGTATTTCCATGTATTTTCGTATGCGAAATTTTTCAAGAATAAAGCCCGCTGCTAGCAGTCTTAAAAAGTGGATGTAGCACGAACCTGCGCACCACAATTTAAATTGCATACCCGCGATGCAGAAAAGTGGATAATGCTATGTAGTTTAACATCCTTCTCCAACTTCCTCAGGGGGCGCTAGTGCGCGAAAGAATTTTGCGGTAACAGGAGATAGGCCGTCATTGTCCAAGCTGTCTGGTTTGTCTCTCAAGGTTTTTCTTTCTGCCCGACTTTGCCGCTCGCATGCTCTTCTCCAGCTTCTCTCTCTCTGACTGTCACTGGACCAGCCCAGACAGGCACGCGAATCGAGAACAGTCCGGGAGAGTCGGACGAAAATGTATGTTTAACCTCTTTGGATGGAAAGCGCGAAATAAACAATCCGCGAGATACGTCCGCGCAGTGCGACAGTCGGTAATGTCGGTAATATCGCCCTACCGGTTTCTCCAATAAGCCGCGAGAGGCGCTGCTCGCGTGAATCGTGGTCGAGCTTCCCCCTCCAGCGCCACTCGGTCACCCCACTTCGCGCGCAGAGCGGCGGACGGACGGACAGGCGGCGCAAGGCGGCGGCGGCGGCCATATTATCAGTGAGGTGTCAGTATTTTCCGAACGTGACGGGATTTTTGGGTGTGGATCGTCCGACTTCCTGTTTCGCCGGCTGTTCGCGGGGGTTTTTTTTAGTAGCGCGAGTGCGTGCGCCAGGCGGGCCGTCGTCGTGGATGCGGTGCGGCACACGTGATCACGGGATCCTCGCGGGTGTGCGTGCAAGCTGAATCAGGTAAGCGCTTGCGACCCCGTCGACGTTGCCCGTCGACGTCGACGCATACACGCGTTTCCCGGTTTACCGTCGTGTTAGCGAAAAGGGGGACTCGTGGATCGCGAAGGGGGGAGGGGAGGGGTTAGAGGGACCGAGTCGCCGTCGCGACGCCCGGCGTTCCCCGCGAGACCGTCGCCGGTTGTGCGGCGGGTTGCCCTCCCTCTTCCCCTCCCCTCTCCTCCTCCCCGCGTTCGATCGCACACGTTAATTTCTCGATCCGCTTCTCGATCGCGCGTCGCGTATGTCGCTCTGCAAACGCGTGGAACGCGTGATTCAGAAACGCGTGACGGGGTAGCCGCCGGGAGCGAGTCGGTCAACCGAGGCGACTCGCGGGATCGACCTCGTAACGACGACGCCGCGGTCGGCCGCCGGTCGGTCGGTCGGTCGTCGCTAAAGCCGCCTCTTTTTTCCTCCTCGCAGTGTACACGTTGGACTCACGGAGCGCGTGATATATCTCTCCGGGAAGGTACGAGGGAATCGAGAGGTTCGGTTCGCCGGAAAACCGGTTCGATTGTACCTCGACGATCGGTTAAGCTAACTGCGTTTGACTTAATTTTCATTCTATGTGTGTGTTTGTGTGTGTATGTATACGCGCGTATGTATGTATGTGTGTGTACGCGCGCGCGCGCGGTGTGTGTGTGTGTGTGTGTGTGTGTGTGTGCGTGCGCGCGCGCGCGCGCGTGTGTGTGCACGTGTGTGCGCCACGTTTAACCCACGCCGATTCCGCCTCGCCGTGATTCAGGCAAAATTCTTCGTAAATAAGATTTATATTTGTATACGTGTATATTAATATTTAATCAATGAGTAATCGACAGAGTAATTCCTGATTGTGACTTGCAAAGTAACAAACGAACTGAATTAAGCACGACGAAATTCACTTTATTAGCAGGTCATAATTGCGATTCTACTTTTACAATTAGGTAACCGAAGAGTTTAGGTATGTGATTTAAGAAATAGAAAATTGATAAAGCAAAGCGACTGTTCGACAAATTAGTCTAATTACATTTTCTTTTGCTGTATCAGGAATATAGGGAAACTTGCAGGAATGTGATTTA